CAAACACCGTGACGACCTCCTAACCTATCAGGCTCTCCTCTCCTCTTTCTCTGCTTCGATCTCTCAGGCAAAAAGCACTTTCTTTCAAGATAAGATCCAATCTTCCTATTCCAAAAAACTATTTCCCATCTTCTCCACCCTCTTGGACCCTCCAAAAGCCCCTCCCCCCTCCTCACTTCTGTCAAGCGACTTTGTTACCCACTTTGAAAAAAAGGTTGATGATATTCGCTCTTCTTTTTCTGACTCATCTTTACTCACCGCTGGGTCACCAGACCCTCCTTCCACCCACACACTAACCTCCTTTTCCCCTCTCTCTCCAAGTGAGGTTCTTACCCTCATTACCTCTGCCCGCCCTACCACCTGTCCTCTGGACCCCATCCCTTCAAACCTCCTTCAGACTATCGCTCCTGATATTCTACCATTTCTCACCCATTTCATCAACACTTCTCTAACTTCTGGTCACTTTCCAAACAGTCTCAAGGAGGCAAGAGTAAACCCTCTCCTAAAGAAACCCACTCTCAACCCGTCAGATGTTATAAACTACAGGCCTGTCTCTCTACTCCCGTTCCTGTCTAAATCACTTGAATGCGCTGTCTTTAAACAACTCTCCTGTTATCTCCATCAGAACAACCTTCTGAATCCGCACCAGTCTGGTTTCAAGGCAGGTCACTCCACAGAAACTGCTCTCATTGCTGTCACTGAGGAACTGCACACTGCTAAAGCAGCCTCCCTCTCCTCTGTCATCATCCTTTTGGACCTGTCTGCTGCATTCGACATGGTGAATCATCAGATCCTCCTTCGCACTCTCCAAGAACTTGGAGTTTCAGGCCCTGCACTTTCCCTCCTCACCTCATACCTCAAAAACCGTACCTACAGGGTAACTTGGAGAGAGTCCGAGTCCGACCCTTGTCTATTAACTACAGGGGTCCCTCAGGGCTCTGTTCTTGGTCCCCTCCTCTTCTCCCTGTACACAAACTCGCTCGGATCAGTCATTAGCCCGCATGGTTTTTCATACCACTGCTACGCTGACGACACCCAATTAATTCTGTCCTTTCCCCGCTCAGAGACCCAGGTCGTCGCACGCATCTCTGCTTGTCTAGCTGACATCTCTCAGTGGATGTCTGCTCATCACCTCAAGCTCAACCTTGACAAGACTGAGCTACTCTTCCTTCCGGGAAAAGATTATCCCACTCTTGACCTAACAATCAACATCGGCACCTCAGTTGTTTCCCCGACTCAGACTGCAAGGAATCTGGGTGTGACCCTAGATAACAACCTGTCCTTCACTGCAAACATCGCTGCTACAACCCGTTGCTGCAGATACACGCTTTACAACATCAGGAAGATACGTCCCCAGCTGACTCAGAAAGCGACTCAGGTTCTGGTCCAGGCTCTCGTCATCTCACGCCTAGACTACTGCAACTTCCTCCTGGCTGGTCTACCTGCATGTGCCATCCGACATCTGCAGCTCACCCAGAATGCAGCGGCTCGTCTGGTCTTCAACCTTCCTAAATTTTCCCACACCACTACGCTCCTCCGCTCCCTTCACTGGCTTCCGGTAACTGCTAGAATCCACTTCAAGACACTGGTACTTGCTTACCATGCTGCGAATGGATCTGGCCCTTCGTACATCCAGGACATGGTTAAACCGTACACCCCAGCGCGTGCACTACGCTCTGCATCAGCCAAACGACTCGCTGCACCCTCGCTGCGAGGGGGACCCAAGTTCCCAACAGCAAAAACACGTGGGTTTGCTATCCTGGCTCCAAGATGGTGGAATGAGCTCCCCATTGACATCAGGACAGCAGATAGCTTGCACATCTTCCGGCGCAAACTGAAAACTCATCTCTTTCGACTCCACTTCGAGCGATAGATTTATTAACAAAGCACTTATATACTAATAAAGGACTGGCTTATCTAAAGCCAGTTGAGTAGCACTTGAAATGTTTGGCTCTATGAAACCTGATGTACTTATATGATTCTGTTCTTCAAGGTTGTGTCTTCCTGGTCGAATGTACTTATTGTAAGTCACTTTGGATAAAAGCGTCAGCTAAATGTAATGTAATGTGAAGGTTACAGTTCATTTAAATGAAAGATACAACGTTACTCCGCACTCATGGTTCAGTCCACCTTAAGAAATAAGACAGACCTCGGAAGCAGTTGTGTTTTTAAAAAAACTTTATTGGCACGGGTACACTTTTTTTTTTAATAAGAATATAACTAAACCACAGAAATGACTCCGGAAAAGCTGCAGATAGAGCCATAAGAAATGAATGCAACTGATTTCATCTGCGCGGTTTGGCTTTATGAAGCAGGCACGCAAACGGTTACGTCATGACGCAAACGATGACGCAACGACGCATTACCAGTCGGACTCTGGGCGGTGTGAAAAGAGCCAGAGCTAAACCGAAGAACTGGTTCTGAACCCGAAAAGCTCTAGCACGGAGCTTGAACCGGAGTTGCATTGGTGTGAATGAGGTATGAGAGGACCAGTATGAATTACGGCATAGAAATATGCAAACAAAAACCTACAGACTGGGGGATGGGAGATCACAGGAGTTGGGGGGGGGGGGGGGGGGGGGGGGGGGGGGAGAGCTGTGGAATGTGACCCTTGGGAGAATTCCTCCACACATTCCGATGGCCAATTCGTTTTAAACAAAGAGTTCGCAACACAGGACAGCATAGGCAACATGGGGGGTGGGGGCTGGTGAACGGTCTGGTCAATGTTTGTAAACACAATCCCCAGGGTGTGTCCTAATGAAACCAAAAGAGAAAATGCAGATATCATTCTCTCTCTCGACTCGCTGGTATCTCGAGCCGAGCGCTCATTGGTGTTCATACTGCTCACAGGCTGGGCTGCTGTGTATATCTAGTGTATTCTGTACCCCTCCTCACTGTTTATTCATCATTCAACCATTTACACCTTCCTTTTTTCCCGTCAAGAGGTTGAAAAAGATTGAGTCCTATGTTTCCAATTGGTTCCCAAATCTGAACATTGACCAGTGGCATAAGATCAGGAGCCGGGTAAATGAGAGACTGAGGAGCCCCCGAAAAACAGATCCCGAAATAGCTCGTCCTGGTTTCCGCAGCAGATAGATAACAGACACCATATATGGTGTCTGTTATGTCAGTTATTTTAAATAAAACGTTGAAAACTGAACTTGAAAATTGTCTCCTCTTTTTATTTTATTTATCATTTTCGGGACGGGGAGACGTGGGGAGACGTGTGTGATTAAAAATTAATTTGCAGAAATGTAAAGTGATCTAACTAAGTTCTATTCATATTCTTGACGGGAAGAGCAGTGTAAATGGGTGGCCATATGCATTTGAAAAGCAATATAAATCACACAGTTATTATACAATAGACTATAAAAGCACCATCGATAACCATTACCTTTATCCAATTCAAAATTTGGACGGGAAAAAAGGAAGGTGTACATGGTTGGGCTATACTGTAGGCCTACTGTATACATACAAAGGCCATTCAAGCTAGAGTTCTTCTGGAAATGTTCACATCAGGCACCTTCAAGTTAAACAATTAACACAGTAGGCCTAAATTATGTGGATTAAACCACATTTATTTCGTTAAAAATAAACGAAATATGATTTTGTTTGAATGATTAAATGTCATCAGGCACCTTCAAGTTAAACAATCAGGTGCACACTTTAATGTGCCGCCACCTCCGGACTCGGCTTGACTCGGTATAAAGAATGCACAAATGTGTTTAATCGTTTATGTCAGATATGTACTAAGTAGCCTAAATACATTTGTTCCTGCTCAAGATTAGATTCAACGTTATTGTTATTGCACATATTGCAGGTACTGAGACAACGAAATGCAGTTTAGCTTCTAACTAGGGATGCACGATAATTATCGGTCCGATATTAGGAATTATGACGTCATCCCGATAAACCCGATACCAGTATTAATAGCCCCGATAATATACAATATATCTTTTGAGTAAAACAAAGAAAAAAATACTGCGGTGTGGGTGGATTGGGATGAGGGGCGCTTGTTTTTGACTCTGCTCCTCCCGTTTTGCCAGTACTGTGGTATTAGTGGTTTAGGAAGAGGGGAGTTTTTCACAAATCCAGCGCTCCCTAACTCATGCCTGGCTGTGACGCAACTCAAGGGATATGCTCGAACCGGAGCTGCAATCATGTTGCGCACACTTTTCGTACAATGTCCCACTGTCTGGCTGCCTGCATAAAGTCAAGTGCTCGGCGCAGTTGTGGCGAAATGTCGCTCCTCTGTTTTCATTTAAACAGCTCCGTATATCCGTTAGCGCAGCTAGCTAGCACCAGATGCTAACAACAACAATGCACGTAAGGTCTCTCTCTCGCTCGCTCGGGCCACACATACACACCCTCCCGGTCCTCCAGATGGCCAGTCGGTGCCTGCCGGTGAGCGTGGAAGTGTGGTCTGCCACAAGCGGGAGACAGGAACGGGGCTGTCAGCATGTAGATGGTATTTTAAACTCGATGCGCTCTGAAACTACGGGGCGGCCAAGGAAAAAAAATACACATGCGTTAATCGCGTTAAAATAATTAGTGGCGTAAAGATTTTTTTATTATCGGTTATCGGTATCGGTCTTGAGAAGCAGGAAGTTATCGGTATCGGTTTCAAAAAAACAATATCGTGCATCCCTACTTCTAACCAGGGGTGCAACAAGCAGCGAAAAGTAATGTGCACAATACTATAGTAAACAATTAACACAGTAAATTATGTGGATTAAACCACATTTATTTCGTTAAAAAGAAACGAAATATGATTTTGTTTGAATGATTAAATGTAGGGTGAATTGCCCTAATGTGGGACATTTTTGCATTTCAGACTTCGGGAATATATTGCGATATGAAGCCGATACAATAAATCAAAATCCAGTACCATTCTGAAATCCCCAGTAATATTAGACACTAATAATTAGGGTTGGGTACCGAGAACCGGTTCCGAACCGGAACCGGTTCCAACATTTCGATTCCAACGGCATCGTTTAGAAATGTGAATTTCGGTTCCGCTTTTCGATGCCTGAGGAAATTTCTCTCGCCGCTCTCCGTAGCCTACTGGGGCGGGAAATGTAGCGTTGTACCTACACTTCTACACAGCTTAACCTGGGACCACCATGAGCGGTAGACGCTCTAAAGTGTGGCTTCACTTTGTTAGGAAAGACAATGGGTCGGCAGAGTGCAACACCTGTTCCAAACGTATTTCCTCCAAAGGAGGGAACACGACCAATATGACGAAACACCTTCGCCTGCACGGTATACAGATCAAGGAGTGTACCGTTTTCAACCTGTTTCGCCAGTCTCCGTCCGCCTCACAACCACCGTCGTCTTCCGCTGTCGTCCCGGCTCAACCAACACCGAGCACTCCCTCAGCGGAGCCCTCGCAATCAGGTATGTAAGTTAACATCACTCAAAACTAAAGGATGGTTGTTTTGTTTGAGAGGTTGTGTGTAAAATGTGTGGATATTCTATATTTTTGTAGATGAAAGTTTGCGGTCGCGTAGTTGCGCGGCTACAACGGCTCAAGCTAAAAAGCCCGTCCCAGCCCGTGTCAACCCATTCACCTTAGCAGCAAAGGGAAAGATGACAGTAGAGAAATGTGAGGAGTGCCACAGAAAAGTCACCGCTTTTGTGGTGAAAAGGCTGCATCCCTTCTCAGAAGTAGAAGCACCTACATTTCGGTACGCAAAGACAATTATACAAATTGTCTAGCTGCCCAGACCTCACCCACAATAACAATATCATTTTTGTGTTTACAGGGACATGCTTTTTACTCTTAACCCCAACTACACCCCCCCTACCAGAGATTATCTGACAAATCACTTAATACCATCTTGGTATGAGATTGAAAAGTCAAATATAATCACTGAGCTTAGTGAAGTTAGCCATGTTGCCCTCACATCTGACGGCTGGACTAGTATTGCGCAAGACCACTACCTTACTGTCACAGCACACTATTTAGTGGAAGGCAAAATGAGGCAAAAAGTGCTCCAAACCAAGGCTGTCTACAAAGCCCAGACAGGAATCGTCATAGCAGAGGAGATTGCAGATGTCTTGACAGATTTTGGCATTTTTGACAAAATAGTGGCAGTCACAGTTGACAATGCTGCAAATATGGATGTAGCCATACACAGGCTCCAATTTGTGAAGCTGGGCTGCTTTGCTCACACTTTGAATCTGGCAGCACAGAGTCTCTACTCATTGGCCATCATGTCTCAATGGATAGCAAAGATCCGTGCACTTGTTGTGTGGATTAAGAGGTCATCAATGGCTAAGACCGTGCTCCAGGAGAAGCAGGCTATCCTAAGTAAGACTCACTGAGTTACATTCATTTGATTGTTGTGAATTGTATTTAATTAAATAATGCTTGTTTTTTTCAATACAAAGCACTGTATGCGTTTTTCAGGTATTAACATTTCAAAAACTATGTAAAACATACATGTCAAATGATAACTACTCCATGTTAAATTGAAATCCCATATGTTAAAGTATTTGTGATTTTCTTGTTTGTCAGAGCTGCATCAACACTCGCTCATACTTGATGTGAGAACTCGCTGGAATTCTCTCCACCTAATGCTGGAGAGATTTCTCGAGCAATACCCAGCAATTCAGGCAGCCAGCTTGGATCAACGGTTGAGAAAGCCTATGGAGAGGGACAGGTAAAAAGGTAAAAAATATAGCTACTTTATGGATCCAAAAGAAAATGGCATCCAGTAGCTTATGACTCATACAAAACACTAATACTTCATTATCAGGCAAGTGATTGTCTAGCCACCAGAACTAGTGCAGAGAGCTGTCACTATAAGCATGTGGTAATGCAAATGTAGATGACTTGAAAAGTAGCTAGCAATGTAAACTATACTGATTAGTGTGGATAAGTGATGGATTTAAAGAGGAGCAGTTCCCTTGTCAAACAGAATTGTTTTTGTTTAAAATGTAATATTTGTAACTTATAGTTAATAATACAAATATTCTTTATCACTCAGACTTGCCCGGTTCACTGACGAAGACCTCAGGCGGGCAGAGGACTTCATCAGACTGATGAGGGTTATGTACACGTCCACCCTCTGCGTTTCTTCGGAAAAGAACCCGACATCTGGACAGATTCTGCCCATTCTCAAAAAGCTTGAGATGCATTTTACTGTTACTGATGGGGACACAGTATTTGTGTCCAACCTTAAAAAGCAAGTTTGGGGAAATCTGTCAAAGCGTTACCAGGTAAAATAACTGAGGCTATAAAGAAGTTAATGAAGAATACATTAAATAATTATATTCATGACTTAATCCTACATTTTCAATAATTGTGTTCAGAGTGATGAAATCAGGAGCTTTCTGGAAGAGGCTACTGCTTTGGATCCACGCTTCAAACAAAAGATGGACGATGATGCTGCTGTCTGGGACCGGATCAAGGGGAAGTTCCTGGCCAAAAATCTGACCGACTCTGAGAAGGTGAAATGTTATTCATGAACAAATAATGTCTCCTCAATCATTAAAATCTTTGATCATAAATAATGCCAATTGTTATCCGTAGTCAACAGATCTAGACTGTGGAGGAGATGGTGACGAGAACATGGAAGGAATGGAGAGTGAGGCAGAGGAGAATGTAAGTGTATGTTTGCAAAAAATATATATGCGAGGTTTCTTAATCATGATCTATGCTTTGAATGGAAGTTTCCTTTTGTGTGATATGTTGTTCTTTATTCATTTAGCAAATGCATCCCTGCAAAAACCCCAAAATGACCCCATTGGAGGAGCTGTTTGCTGATGAGGATGCCCAAAAGGTGACACCACAGCAGAATTCCATGTCCATCCAGGACTTGAGAATTGAGAATCGTTAAGAATCGGAATCGAAAACTAGAATCGGAATCGGAATCGTGGAAATTCAAACGATACCCAACCCTACTAATAATACAGTAAACTATTAACACTGTACATATTATTGTTTGCCCGTGGGATTAGGATGATCGGTAGTCAGACCCGTGCTGCATTTTCCTCCGGTCGGATGTGATATAAAAACAAAGCGATTATTTTTGTTGTTGTAAACTCACGTAGATTAAATTTAGTGCATTCATTTCAACTCTCGAACATATGTACATTAAATGATCGTGAGGATGATGATTGAAAATCGTTTGTTTGAGCCTGGATGCATTTCCTGATCTAAAAACATAGCGATGGTTTTGTACTTACGCCAACGTGAATTAAACATTATTTTGTTAAATAAAAACATGGGGATGTTTAGTAAATGATTACATGTCTCTTATTTAGCAAAGAATATGATCCTATCCGTGACATATGGATCTTAACAAATATCCGCTATATCAGATACCTGTAGATCAGCTGTTTATGAGTTCCAGTGTGGCAGCTTTTTAATCACGGCTCCCCCTGGTGGATCCATGATCCATTGCAGCTGGTTTCATTATAATTAAATGTATTTATCAAGGGGGCGTTTCAAGTCCTGCGGGGGGGTTTTCCTTTTCAGCAGGGGCCCACCCTGGGCCGATCACGGACCCGCACGGGTAGGCGTCTGAAATGAAGCGCTCCATCTGTATGTGTCAAGCAAATATCCACTGACAATATCGCATAAACTCAATCTAGAATTGATGGAAAAAAAATATCACTTTTTGAACTTCCTTACTACAATCAATGTGTTATCCTCAGTCGCTAAACCCCACTGACGGACTTTGGCATATTTGACTTTCAGGGTCTGCTTTTCGTGAATTATGGGTACTGGTCCTTTCTCCATTGTAACCATGAAAAACAACTTAACACACTTCATGCAAAGAAACTACAACAATGGAAGCCATAGAGTAACATGATAGCAAACATCCTTGACAACATCATCACTCTAGTTTTGTCATTTCACCATCATGTTCATGTCATGCACCAGTAAGACCAGTTCTGCCATGCCACCACTCCTCTATGGAGATGCTTTGTTCGGGTTCTGATTGATCCTTTAGGTCACGTGTCAAACTCAAGGCCCGGCGGCCAAATCAGGCCCTTGGTAGATTTAATGTCCTGACCCCAAACATTGATGAACTTGCACCCAAGATGAGATGCCAAGTATCTCGCTTAGTGTGCATCACAGAGCAGCAAACTGAGTTTCAATGGATGTTTCCTTTTGCACTTTTTTTCTTGCGACAACAGGGCATGTTTGGTTTTTGCTTTGAAGGAAATAGTTTTTTTTTTAAGCTGTTGTTGGCTTGTGGAAAAATGTAATCATAAGAAATGACTCTGGAAAAGCTGCAGATAGAGCCATAAGAAATGAATGTAACTGATTATTTAATGTGTAATGTTGTTTTTATAGGCAATACTTTAAGCTTTGTTAGTTCCAGGTTTGATATGTGCAATAAGTTAATTTCAATAAGTTTTGCAATAAATATTGAACCAGTCCGGCCCTCGACTGGTACCGATTTTTTTATTTTGGCCCACTGTGTATTTGAGTTTGACACCCCTGCTTTAGGTGAAAGTCACACTGACCTTTTCTAAAATGATAAATGTTCCACACCACAGTAGCAACAGTAAGTCATAAAGTCAATTTGGTACTTGCCTTCCCAACAATGACTCAAATGACTGCATGGATGTGAAAGGTGTCACCCCCAACTCTGTAGTTCCACACAGTCCTGTGCAGCTTAATGGTAGCTTTCTGCTAACATTTTCTAAGTGTTCCTACTATTTTCTTAGCTCCAATTCAATCCGAAACAGGCAGCCGTTTACAGCAAAAAAAGCTCTAAAACACAACTTTTTTGAATTTGTCCATGGCATCAAACTGCAGACAGACACAGATAATGCATAACAGCATAAGTTGTGATCAGAGTGTAGCATTTAGCAGCTAAACATTCAGATATTTCCCTCAGGAGTTGCTGGTCACATATGCCACTCCAAATAAAAAGCAAATGTTGTTTCACATCTGCTGTGTGTGTAATATTACGGAGCCCTGGAGGGTTCATAGAGAGAAAAATAAATAAAACGTTGCCACGTTTTACTTTCTCGTTCGCACAAGATACCTTCTCGTGCGAACGCTTTATTAACTCGTGCGCACGAGTTAATAAAGCGTGGCCTCGTTTTATTTAAATCGATTAGTTTTATGAAGAATATGTCCGGTCGCTTAGACTTAGGTGTGCAAAGCTAGGAACCAATAAAGGTAGTACTACTAGGAGGCTATCAAGCGATAATTGAATATATGCAAATAATACTCCTGATTAGTTATCTATAGTATTTGTGCTGTCTAAGACGCCGTCTTACTCCAGCCAGCAGGTGGTGCTGTTGCTTTTTGTTTCTTCTTCTTTTGTTAGTACCAGCCAATGGGAAAGACTTACATTAAAAACATAGGAAGTGATACCCACATGTGAGTCGTGGTTGAAAGGGACAGAGAGGAGAATATCATTGTTTGAATATACATCCATCCTTCTTTGCTATGTTGTTGAAAGCATTGCTTGTAAGTATGTTTGGATTTTGTACAAATTCTTAAGAGGATATCAACAATTATTTTGAGGTTTCAATGTTTAAGTAGATTGCTATTCATTGATGTTTGATATATGGTTAGCACATGTTTTGTAGTGTGTATTACACAGCACTTTTGCATGTAAACATTTTATATGCATATTTTGTGATGTTTGTGACATAATTAACCGTTGTATATATATTTCTGCATCACAGCTAAGTGTCTAATTTCAATGTATATTGTGTTTCTTTCAGTTGTTGACTTGTGGATGTAAACATCTTATTAAAGAAGATAAACGCTTGCCACTTGTCGAGGAGTTATCTGTCTGCATATCTGTACTCATAACGACAGTGAGGGCAGAACAGTAAAAAAGCATATTCGTCTACATCAAAATATCAGGTGGCAGGGCTCGACATTAAGGGCTGCCCGATGGCCCGGGGCCATCTAGTATTTAGCTCGGGCAATGAAGCCTCACCTGCTGGTTGCCCGATCGGGCAATCTATTATGCCAGTATCATGCAGCTCGTGGATCAGTGATGAGTGACCCGACAGTAAAACTAAACATATCTATAACTAGTTTAGGTAGTTTGAGAGGTAATTAAAATAGCTACGTGTGATATTCTAACATGAAGTGTGTGTTTTGTCCGCTCACCGCTGCATGTGATCATGCAAAGCTGCGTGTCGACTCGTCAGCAGCAGCTGATCTCTCTCTCTCCCGCCAGATTAGACTTTACTCACGTTTATGTCCATATCGATCAGATCCAGCTAGTTCTAGCTAATGATATGACTACCTGCTTATTAAAAGACACCTAAACAATAAGTGTCGCTATGCAACTGGGTCAGGCCACAAAGTATAGCGCAGCATTGTGCATTTGTTTACATGCCCACCGGAACCCCGAGGCATTACCAACAGATCAACGCACAATCAACCCATCCAGGACATCTCTTTCTCCACATTAAGTGTTAGACATTAGAATTGACTATTCTTGTCTGTCACATACTCTTTTGTCTGTCACATAAGTGGCGCAACTGAAGCGGTATTGCGCTAAAGGGAAATTATTTTGACCGGACATTTTGACCGAAGAGATTTAGATTTTGCCGGCTAACGGGAACTCTGACGTCGCCATTTTGTGTGCTTCGCGGATGCGCTCGGCTCCTCTCGACTGCTGCTCGGGTCTGCTCGGTCAGCTTCCGGATTCGTTCGACCAATTTAAAGTAGATAACATTACAAACATTTTTAACAGGGGTCATAATAGTGTAAATAATGTTTGTTTTGGTAGTTATAAGTGAATATAATGTTTTCTACTTGTTTACATCTGGGAAGGCATTTGCCTTCATCAGATAGAAAGTGTCTTGATCAACAACTTAAGTATTTATTATAGCTATGCAGGGCATGCAAGCGAGCAAACACAAACAAGAACAAACAAAGTGAAATGAAGAATACAATTGAAATTGTACAATACAATATTGTGGTGGTTCATCTTATAATTCAGTCTAGAGAATGCACCAGACAGCATAGACCTGCACAAATCTAAATGTTCTAGGGCAGGGGTGCCCAACCAGTCGATCGCGATCGACCGGTCGATCGCGGGGAGATTCCCAGTCGATCGCGAGATGTGTCTAAAAATAGAACAACAATATTCGGTTTTATCGTTAATGTCCTATAACATAATCTTCCTGTGCCAGAAAAATGCACTTGAATGCATCAAAGCTTTGTGATTGGCCGGCGTGACCCCATGTGTCGGGGCGTGGCTGGTGGGCAGTGCACTAGTTTGCTGATGTTGTCCGTGTCAACAGGAGTGACAGTCCGCACACACACACAAGACCGCAATTATGGCAGAAGCAAAAAAGCCAAAAATATATCATTTTCACTCCGAGTGGGAGGATGATTTGTGTATCTATTCCAATTCAAAGTCCATCTGTCTCATCTGCAATGCGAGCATGGCTTTATCGAAGAAGGGTAATTTAGGAGCGGCATTTCAAAACTGCACAAACGCTACGAGACGGAGTTCTCTCCTAAATCTGCCCTACGCTCCCAAAAGGGGAGGGGCCTGAAAGGACAGCTAAATGCACAGCAGCCCATTTTCACCAGGCCCAACAACAAGAGCAAGGCTGCTACCATAGCATCTTATCGTGTCAGTCACGTTCTTGCGAAACACATGAAGTCTTTCAAAGACGGCGAAGTTGTGAAAGAAGCTTTCCTGGAGGCTGCCGACGCGCTTTTGGGGGACAGTAAAAATAACTAGCATTTCAACAGGTTTTTGACATAATAAAAACTCAAGTTGGATACCGTTATTAATCAGCTGTAAGTTTTAGTTTGTTTGAACTTATTCATTATAATTATTGTACAAAATGGTATAAGAATGCAAACATTAAGATCTGTTCTGTTTAAATTGATTATAGTCTATTATCAATTCAGGTTAAGAAACTAGTGTTGCTTGCATCCTATTTTAAAGGCATTTATTTTTATACTCTACTAAAATGCAACAAAAAAAGGGTTTGATTCTATTAATTTTGCCTTTTTTT